ATACACACACACACACACATATATATATATATCTATGTGTGTGTATATAGTATAGCTTATATATCTGTTTACGTCCTTGATATATATATATATATATATATCTATATGTACATATATATATATATATATATATATATTATATACACCTATGCGTTTGCCTTTGAAATGTCCCGATTGAATTTTTTTATACTTCTACATTCCCTGACATATTCATCGCTAAAGTCTTTTGAGCGTGCATATGCGTTTCCAGTGTTGTCCTGACTACTTACGCTACATAAGTATGAATTTTGTGCAATAAACCACTGTCTGCTTTCAATCGTTCGAGAACGTGCTTTGGCCTGGTGTGTTATCGTATGTGCATATGTAGCTTCCATTTGAAGTCATCGTGTAAACATGCTAGGAGGGCTTCAGGGTGATCTTCGATGCTATTGAATTGCCTTTGTTTCCCGGCTATAATTTTAATCAGTGTAGTGGCGGATGCAAGTGCGGGTCTGATGTCACTCGTCTGTGTTGGTGCTCTCTGTGTAGTTTGATCCCCGTGTCCCTATTTTACAGTCCCTTTTTTATTAAACCTGTATTCATACGAATGGAGCTTGTTATCTTCGGGCGTGTACGCATGCATTCATGGCGTATGCTTTTGTAGTCCAAGTCGGCTTGTATTAAATCGTCCCCCCTTTCTAATCGTCAAGTTCCTTTCCCGGATTCAAACATCAGACCATCCATTCCCATGTCTGTAGCCCTACTGACAATCCTCTCTCACTGTCCCATCGCCTTCTATAGAGCCAAGACCTCGACCGAAGTGGGGGCCTCTCCGTAAGCAACATGGACCCACTAGCCACGCGCGTGCTGCTGTTCAACATACTAAACCCCGCATACGCCGTGAACGCAGACATTATACATCAGATATGCACCCCACACGGAGCCGTGTGCAAGATAGTTGTGTTTACTAAGACCGGGCTGCAGAGTCTGGTAGAGTTTGACTGTGTGACTGCGGCCATCCGCACCAAAGAGGCGCTGGAGGGTGCGGAGATATACGCGGGTTGCTGTGAACTAAAGATAGATTTCTCGAGGACGCCCGAGCTGAATGTGCGGTTTAACGATGAGATGCACCGCAACTACACGGGACAACAAATGCCTGACCAACGAAGACCCTCATTCAACCAACCCCCCCCCCCCACGGTAGGTGCACTACATAGTTCACTTGATATGTTTTATTATATATATATATACATATATTTATATATATATATACAAATATATGTATATGTATAATATATATATATACATATATATACATACACATATATACATACATATTTATACATATTTATACATATATATACCATATATACATACATATGTATATATGTATACATACATACATATACATATACATATATATATATATATATATATATATATATATATATATATATATATATTACTTACTTACTTTACGTTACCGTTACGTAACGAC